TCATGTAGGAGGCAACCCGTTGATGTCTCTATCTCTCTCTCTCTTCTCCTCTTTCCCTCCTTCCCTCTCTATCTGAAGATAAATGGAAAAATATCCTCTGGTAAGGATTAAAAAATAATAATAATAAAATAGTAACATGACTGGGATTAATGGTTTACATTATGCAGTAAATTGACTGAACAATAATACAATATAAACATTTTATAAAAGTGCGAGTGAAGAAAAGATGTGACGTTCAATATTAATTACTTTGATTGATAAAATAATACCACGTTCAGTTTATAGGAAATGATTTGAGTTTACTAAAAGTAAAAGAAATAGCAATAACAGTGATGATTTTTCTCATTTCTTCATGCAGTATTTCAGACTTGTGGTTTATTCTCTTCTCTATGTTATTGTAGAATAAGTATATATATATTTGGTACTGCCAAAGTAGCCAGTCTGCCTAACTTTTTTCCAGTATTCTTATGTTTTACCTAACAGATTTGCACTACTTTATTATTATTTTTTTTATTAAAGTATACTTGGTACACAATATTATTAGTTTCAGGAGTATAACATATTGATTCAACATTTATATATCTTTGTATGTGCTCACCACACTAAGTCTCATAATCATCTATCTAGTAACCAACTGTAAAGTTATCACACTATTTTTTACTATATTCCCCTTCACTTGTTTCACCCATTCCTCCTCCCCTCTGGCAACCACCGGTTTGTTACTTGTTTCTGTGAGTCTGTTTTTGTTTTGTTTTGTTTCTTTGTTTGTTTTGATTTTTTTAAAATGTTTTTATTGATTTTTTTAGAGAGAGAAAGGGAAGGAGAGAGAGAGAGAAACATTGATGTGAGAGAGAAACATCAATCAGCTGCCTCCTACACGCCCCCTACTGGGAATTGAGCTCGCATCCTGGGCATGTGCCCTGACCTGGAATTGAACTGGGTCCTCTCAGTCTATGGGATGATGCTCAATCTACTGAGCCACACTGGCTGGGTTTTTATTATTATTTTTTGTTCAGATAGAGTGGGAGGAAGAGAGAGAGAAAGAGAGAGAGAGAGAAACATTGATGTGAAAGGGACACATCAAATGGCTGCCACCCACACAACCCAACCAGGGCTGGGGACAAACTGCAACCGAGGTATGTGCCCTTAGCAGGAACCAAACCTGGGTCTCTCTGGACCACAGGCTGTCGCTTTCACCGTTGAGCCAAACCGGCCAGGGCTGGGTTTTGATTTTTAAAAATTCCACAGATAAGTGAAATCATGAGGTATTTGTCTTTCTCTTTCTGACTTAGTTCTAAAAGGTTAGAAATAAATATTTGAAATATCAACCTAGATATTTGTGAGATCACGTAAGAGTAGTCCAAAGAGGATCTTAGCAGTTGCCTTTCAATATCCTTGTAACAGCTAACCATATGAAATTCTCCCGAATCACTAAAAATAATACTACAATGATTCTGAGTGTAGTGCACCACTGTGTGTGACTGACTAGGATAATCCTTCCTAGCATGTCGCAACTAAGTGTCTTTCTCACACTTTGAGGTGACAATGGTAGAGTGTAGCTATCAAGTACTTTTCCTTCGTTGTTGCTTAACCTACTTTAAACCAGACTTACTAGTTTCCAAAATATACTGGGAAGTTTTTATTGTTTCTTTGGGACAGGTTTGATTTTTTAAATACAATTTCCTAGACTCATCTGGAAAGATATATACAACTTAGTTTGTAGTAAAGAGATTGAGTCTTTTTAACATTGTAGATAAATCAGTTTCATCGATATTTTAATTTTGGAAAAAGAGCATAGAGTAATATAAAAATCTTTGTATGAGCCCTGGCCGGTTTGGCTCAGCAGTAAGAGCATTGGCTTGCGGACCAGGGAGTCCCGGGTTCGGTTCCCGCTAGGGGCATGTACCAAAATAAATAAATAAATAAAATCAATAAAGAAAAATTTTTAAAAAAATCTTTGTATGAAATTGGCATTCCAATTCATTAATGTCATTTGATCAGAAGTATTCGTCTGGTGTTTAGCCAGGCATTGTTGACAGAAAAGATGTAATCCTGTGTCAGGGTTTGCATGTATAGTTGTGTGGGTTACACACTGCACAACACAGGGTTGGGGCATTTGTAAAAGGGTCAGCTTGTATATCAGAAGAGTTTCTGGCTAATGGCAGGACAGTGTCTTGAGGAAGGAGCACTTAGTTGTGTTTTCACAAAGGCTGCGTAGAGGCTAACGGTACTGTGGCCTGTGCATCAGACTGTATTTAGAAATGAATATCTGTGGAAGTAATCAAGCAGAGCATGTACAGCAGTATCGCAGATGAGCTTGTATCATACTTCAGCATTTGCTTTTTGGCAACCTCAATAATATAGTACAGAGTCCATAGCCAAAAGAAGGTAACAGTGGGCGTGTGAAGTGAAGTAAATTATACAAAGTTTATGAACTTTGTATTTTACATATAGGAAAGCCATTTTTCATTTTATTTATGCATTTTTGGCCCATTTATTTGTTTTCCAGCCCAATAATTTAAAAAAGCAAGTAGAAGGGGGAGAAGCTGTATAGTTAAATAACTCATAGAAGCAGTATGTGATAGCTGATAAACAGATGGCCAGTGGTAGAGATGGAAAACTGAAATTTAAAATAAATAAGACACAGGATCCTAAACAAACTGAAAAACTAGTGTAGATTGGTATCAAGCTGGTAAATGATGAGGCATTTCTAACTTGGAAACATGTGAGGAGAGGACTGTTTTGTCACAAAATTCATCAGTGGTAGTCAATAGCCTGGTTTACCATAAAATGTTTAATAAAACATCAAGTCCTCTTTAATGAAAGAGTTTTGTAATACATTTTAGAAAGCTTTGTATAAACAGCTAAAATTTCACCAAGTATTGGTACTTAAGGGATTGGAGTGCCTGGCATAGCATTTACTTAATAAGAATGTGCTGCTTAGTTATCTTTGTTAAATCTACCAAGCTCACCTATGTGGACTTTTTCTAATGATGCCAGATAAACGAGGTTTCTCTAGTCCTATTGTTATCAGTGGGTGGAGTCTCTACCACTGGGAGTGGGCGAGCCCTTCCCCACTGGGTGCTGGGGTCTTGTTCTTACGATATCTTGAGAAAAAGCATTTTCTGAGACTAGCACAAGAGAATGATTTTCTTTTTCTAAATCCTTATCCAAGCCCTGCTGGTGTGGCTCAGTGGATTGAGTGTCACCCCATGGACTGAGAGGTCCTGGTTGGATTCCCAGTCAAGGCACATGCCCGGGTTGCGGGCTCGATGCCTAGTAGGGGGTGTGTAGGAGACAGCCCATTGATATTTCTATCTCTCCTTTCCTCTCTCTCTAAAAAATCAATAAAAACATACTGAAAAATAAATCAATAAATAAATTCTCACCCGAGGATACTTTTCCATTGATTTTTAGATAGAGTGGGAGGAAGGAAGGGAGGAGTGGGGAGAGAGAGAAACATTGATGTGAGAGAGACACATCAACTGGGTCCTCCCACATGACCCCAACCTGGGCTGGGGATTGAACCTGCAACCAAGGCACGTGTCCTTGACCAGGAATTGAACTCACGACTCTTTGGTCCCTGGGCAGGCGTGCTAACCACTGAGCAAACCAGCCAGGGCAAGAGCATGAGTGGTTTTTATTTGTGTAGAATTATATCCCTGGTTTTCAAAGACCCAGTTCCCTTAGTCCAGTCCAGAGAGGTAGCTGGGAATTCAGCAGAGCTAGAAGCAGAGCCCATGTCCAAAGTTTCTGTTCCATGGTGGAGTTAAGTCCGGTGTAGTGTCAGGCTAATCACAGTCCATTAGTCCATTGTGTGTGGGGTCCACATGGCCATGAGCCATGTGGGCGAGTGCAGACCATGAGAGCCCCACAGGCCAGGGGTTAGGTGTGAGCAGTGACAGCAAGAAGGGCCAAGAGTGGAAATTCCCTTTGTACATGAGCTTAAATATTAAATCTTGAGCTTGTAGTGGCCACACCTATCCTGGTCAATTACCCATTCTCAAGTGTGATTGACAGGCATATATCTTCTTCCCATGTCACCCAGACCTTACTGGGCATGCATCTGAACTGCCTTTGTCCAGTCCATTCCTCCATCGATGGGAGTGGAGTGGGGAATAGACCTGGAGAGTGATAAACTGCAGCTTTCTGGCAGAGCTGTATAAATGGCATGCCTATTTTTTTTTAAGAATATGTTTACATTGATTTTTTAGAGAAAGAGATATAAATGTGAGAAACATCAATCGGCTGCCTCCTGCATACCCCTACTGGGGATCAAGCCTGCAACCTGGGCATGTGCCCGATTGGGAATTGAATCAGGACCTCTCAGTCCATGGGGCGATGCTCAGTCCACTGAACCACAACGGCCAGGCTGGCATGCCTCTTTTATCTAGTCTCCCTTTTGCTTCTTTCCTGTTAATTACTAACCAGGTTATTACAACGATATCATGATCACACTTAGGAATTATTTCTAAAGAGAGAATTTGGAACAAGAAAAAAATACAGAAATGTTTGCTACAAATTTTCCATTTGTAGTTTCTCACATAAAGACTGTATGTTTGTGTATATATGTACTACATATTTTTCATTTGTGATATATAACATATAGTAAACACTGTGTTTCTACAAATATTTTTTCTGTAGAAGTGCTTAATTCTTGCTAAAAAATTAGTTTATTTGACCCAAAATATGAACAGCTGTGAAGTTTACCATTGAAAAAATTTGTTTAGCCCAGCTGGTGTGGCTCAGTGATTGAGCATTGACGCATGCACCAAGAGGTCACTGGTTCGATTTCCGGTCAGGGCACATGCCCAAGTTGTGGGCCAAATCCCCAGTGCAGGGCATGCAGGAGGCGGCCAGTCAATGTTCTCTTTCATCGATGTTTCTATCTCTCTCTCTCTCCCTCCCTCCTCTCTCTTTCCCTAATATCAATAAAGAAAAAATAATTTAAAAAAATTTTTTTTGAGCTCTAAGAATATTTTATACTTTTTGCATTATAGGTTGAAGACTTTAAGTGACAAGTCAAGAGAAGCTAAAGTAAAAAGCAAACCAAGGTAAGCTTGTGTTAAGATTTAATTTGCTATGACTTAAATTTCACCCAACTTTTGGTTGTAGTTATAATGGAATAATTACTTAATTGGGTTTTATATATATATAGTGCATCTAACAACAAAATGATTGATTCTAAATTTTATAACACTAGAAAAAATTTTGATAAAATTTTTTGTAAAATGATTGAAAAAATGGTGAAGTGTAATTGTTTTACTCAGACAATCATTGACCATTGTTCAATCACAATTAATCATTTTTATTTGCATACTAAGAGCAAATGAAAAGCCCTGCATTATTAAGAAGCAAATTAATAATGGAACAGTACCTGGCAAGAAATCGTCTTTAGCCCTGTTACCTGTTTTGTATGAAAACACTGGTGTCATTTTTTAATAAAGTAAAGCACATGACCAAATTTCACTTTCAACCTAGAGATGATGAGCTTTAAAAAAAATTCTTATTTTGCATTACATTAAAATGTTTATTATGTGCTGAAAATAATCTATAGGGCAAAGTGATTGTTGATACTATATTATAGTGTATTAATTTTGAAATAAAGCAATACGTTTCTCTAAAAGTTTAGGTAAGTTGTCATTAGTGTTTTAAAAATATTTTACATTACAATTGAATGTCAAAATTCTTATATGTAACTTTTTATTTTTAAGTTGGCCTAAATCAGAAATAGTTTTAATGAAAAAGTGTTTCTCTCGGCAGGACTGTTTCCTATTTGCCAAAATACTCTGCTGGACTAGAATTACTTAGCAGGTAAGTGTTTTTATTTAAGTAAGAAGATTATGCTTGTTTCATTGTCTCAAAATACTTTATAATTTTGTAGGTAGAAACCTTAAAACAACTAAATTTTATCTAAACATGGTGATTGGAAATTATTATTCAATTCTCAGAGGGGCTTTTACTTTTCACTGATAATACAAATTCCCTTAAGACTTTGAGCAGATTGATCAAATTTTATTTACTAGTCAATACTTTATTATGTATATTTATTATGCCTCTGGTTTCTTTGTCACAAGAAAGTTGATTCTGAATTTGAGTCCTCAATAATTTTCTCATTTTTATTATTAATTTTATATTATTTCTTTTCCATGGTTTTATAGATATGGTTTTCTTAGATATGACATCATAAGCATAAGTAACAAAAAAAAAATTGATGAATTGGACTTTATAAAAATCAAAAACTTCTACACTTCAAAGAACACCATCAGGAAAGGGAAACAACCTGGCTAGTGTGGCTCAGTGGTTGAGTGTCGACCCATGCACCGAGAGGTCATCAGTTCAGTTCCTGGTCAGGGCACATGCCCAGGTTGTGGGCCAAATTCCCAGTGCAGGGCATGCAGGAAGTGGCCAATTGATGTCCTCTCTCATCGATGTTTCTATCTCTCTCTCCCTCTCTCTTCCTCTTTCTCTAAAATCAGTAAAGAAAAAATAAATAAAAAGGAAAAAAGAAAGGGAAACAACAAGCTATAGAATGGAAGAAAATATTTGCAAATCATATACCTGATGAGGGACTTGTATTTAGAGTATATAAAGAAGTTTATAACTCATCAATAAAAATACAACCCAGTAAAGAAATAGGCAAGGATCTAAATAGACATTTCCCTAAGGAAGATAAACAGATGGCCACCAAGCATATGAAAAGATGCTCAAATCATCATTCATCAGAGAAATGCAAATCAAAACCAAAATGAAATAACACTTCACACCCATTAACATGGCTATAATAAAAAAGACAGACAATAACAAGTGTTGTTGAGGATGTGGAGAAATTAGAAACCTTGTGCATTGCTGGTGGGAATGTAAAATGTGCATTCTGCAGCCACTGTGCAGAATAGTTTAGTTGTTTCTTAAAAAGTTAAATATAAACTTACTGGGTGACCCAGCAATTTCACACGAAGAGAATTGAAAACTTATGTCTACATAAAAAATTGTACATAAATGTGCACAGCATTATTATTCATAAAGCAGTATTATTTATAATAGCCAAAAAAGTAGAAGCAGCACAAATATTCATCCCCTAATGAGTGGATAAACAAAATATGGTATATTCATCCAATGGAATATTATGCAGCCCCCAAAAGAAATGAAGTACTGGTACATGTTATTATGTGGATGAAACTTAAAAATATGTTGTGAAAGAAACCAACACAAAAGCCCACATATTGTATGATTCCATTTTATTTATTTATTTATTTATTTTATTTATTTTTTTTATCCTCACCCAAGGATATTTTTCCATTTTTTGGACAGATAGAGTGGGAGGGAGAGAGAGGAAGAGAGAGAGAGAGAGAGAGAAACATCGACGTGAAGGGACACATCAAGTGGCTGCCTCCCGCACGACCCAACCAGGGCTGGGGACAAACTGCAACCGAGGTATGTGTCCTTAGTGGGAACTGAACCCAGGTCTCTCTGGACCGCAGGCCAACGCTCGGTAACTGCTGAGCCAAACCAGCTAGGGCTGTATGATTCCATTTATATGAAATGTCCAGAATAGGTGAATCCATAGAGACAGAAAGTAGATATGTGGTTGCCAAAATTCAGGGGATAGAGGGAAATATATAATGATTGCAAATGCAAATGGATTTTTTGGCGGGTTGGGGGAGGTAATGAAAATGTTCTGGAGTTAGATAGTGGTGATAGTTGCCCAACTTTGTGAATATACTAAAAACTACTGAATTATACACTTTAAGAGGCTGAATTCTATGAGTTACATCAATAAAACTGCTAAAAAAATAAATGTGGTTTTAGTGTGTTATATACAGTTTTGTACTTAATGTGTCATCTGGCAGATAAGTGGTAAAGATGTATGTGTGCAGTAGAAGGTATGGTTCTTTTCTTTACCTGCATTTATAATCATCATCATCTATTCTGCTTTCTCTTTTCTCATTTTTTTTTATTGTTTCTTTTTATGGATGCTAAGTGTAGAGATTTTTTTTCTTCTCTGAAATGAAAAGTACTCAATTTGATGTTAATTATCTGCTTGGTTTTGTTGAGTGAAAAATATAAGTGAACCTGAAAGGAAATATAGTAAAAATTAGTCAGAAGTATACTGTTTACTATTTACATGTTATCTTTATTTTTTAAATTTAGTGATTTAATTGAAAGAACTTTATTGAAAGATTTAATTTAGAGGTGTAGAGTTTTGTGTGTTGTTTTTTAGGATGGGGAGTACATTTTGGGACTTAATATGAAAAATTTACAATCATAGGAAAGTGTTTATAATGTGTCCATTCATTGCACTGAAAGTATTTTCTCTTAAGAACCAATATTGAGCAGAGGAAAATCATTTTAAATAGCAGATATCTAAGGCATCATTTTTTAATGGTTAAAAAATTGTGATAAAGTACACGTAACGTAAAATTTACCACCTTAACCATTTTTAAGTGTACAATTCAGTAGTGTTAAGTACATCCACATTGTTGTGCATCCAGTCTCCAAAACTTAGTTCATCTTGCAAAACTGAAACTATTGGTTAAACAACAACTCTCCATTGTCCCCTTCCCCCTGTCTCTGGCAGTCATCATTCTACTTTCTCTTTCTATGACTTCGATTAGTACTCTTGGTCCCTCATATTAATAGAATTGTACAGTATTTTTTTTTTTTTTTTTGACTGGCTTGTTTCACTTAGCACAATGTCTTCAAGGTTTGTCTATGTTATAGTGTTTATGTCAGAATTTCTTCCTTTTCCAGGCTGAGGCTGAATAATACTTTATTGCCAAGTATACAGTCATGTGCTGCATAGTGATGTTTCAATCAATGATGGACAGCATATACAGTGGTCTCATAAGATTATAATGGATCTGAATTTCTTGTAAGAAATGGGAGGATATGTGGTTCAGGAGCAATTTTTTTTTTTTTTAACTCTGACTGGAACAGTATCTGTGGGGGGTGGCAATAGATTTCCTCTCATTCACAGCACCTTAATTTTGAGTGCACAGATTACATCCCAATTGGTTAGCCACTGACCTGTTTCAGCACAGAGAAGCCTGTTTCCCCAGTGCTACATATTCAGGAGAGGAAGAGCTTTCAACCTTGTACCACTGAATATGATGTTAGCTGTGGGCTTATCTTGTATGGCCATTGTGTTGAGATACGCTCTTTCTATACCTGATTTGTTAAGAGTTTTTATTATGAACAGATGTTGAATTTAGTCAAATTTTTTTGTGTCTATTGAGATGATCATACGATTTGTTTTCTTTCATTTCATTAATGTGATGTATTACACTGATTGATTTGTGGACGTTGAACCATCATTGCATTCTAGGTATAAGTCCCACTTGATGGAGAATGATCCTTTTGATGTGCTGCTGAATTTAGTTTGCTAGTATTTTGAGAGTTTTTGCCCCTATATTCATCAGGGATATTGGTCTGTAAATTTCTTTTCTGATAATGTCCTTTTTTGCCTTTGGTATCAGGGTAATGCTGGTTTCATAAAAGTAGTTTGAGAGTGTCCCTCCTTTTTGATATTTTTTTTGAACAGTTTGAGGACTTACATTAATTCTGTTTTAAATGTTTGGTAAAATTCACCATCTGGTCCTGGACTTTTCTTCATTGGGAGATTTTTGGTTACTGATTCAACCTCCTTATTAGTAATTGGTCTATTCAGACTTTCTATTTTTTCTTGACTCATTCTTGATAGTTTGTATGTGTCTAAGAATTTTTACATTTTTTTTTTTCTTTTTATCCTCACCTGAGGACATTTTTCCATTTTTTGTTCAGGTAGAGTGGGAGGGAGAGAGAGAGAGAGAAACATCGATGTGAAAGGAACACATCGAGTGGCTGCCACCCGCACAACCAACCAGGGCCGGGGACAAACTGCAACCGAGGTACGCGCCCTTAGCGGGAACTGAACCCGGGTCTCTCAGGACCGCAGGCCGACGCTCTAACCGCTGAACCAAACCGGCCAGGGCAAGAATTTTTACATTTTTTTTTTTCTAGGTTGTCCAGTTTGTTGGCATATAGTTAGTTCATATTAGCCTCTTATGATCCTTTGTATTTCTGTGGTATAAGTTAAAATATCTCCTTTTTCATTTATAGTTTTGCTGATTTGAGTTCTCTTTTTTTTCTTGGTGAGTCTAGTCAAAGGTGTTGATTTTGTGTATCTTTTCAAAGAACCAGCCCATAGTTTGGTCAGTCTTTTCTGCACTGATCTTTATTATTTCCTTCTGTTAGCTTCGTCTCAGTTTGTTGTTTTTCTAGTTCCTTAAGGTATAGTGTTAGTTTTTTTTTTTTTTTTTTTTTTAATGTTTTTATTGATTTTAGAGAGAGAGGAAGGGAGGGAGAGAGATAGGAACATTGATGAGAGAGAAACATTGATTGGCTGCCTTCTACACTCCCCCTTTTGGGATCAAGCTCCCAACCTTGGCATGTTCCCTGACCAGGAATTGAACTGGTGACCTCTTGGTGCATGGGACAGCACTTAACCAACTGAGCCATACTGGCCAGGTAAATTAGGTGTTTTTATTTGGGAGTCTTTCTTGATTCTTAATGTGGGTGTTTATTGTTATGAATTTCTCTCTTAGAACTGCTTTTGCTGCATATGTTTTTGGTATATTATGTTCCCATTTTTTTCTCTCAAGGTAACTTTTTAATTTGTCTTTTAATTTCTTTCTGATCCATCATTGTTCAGGAGGGAGGTTTTTGGTTGCTGATCCAATCTCCTTACTATGTATGGGTCTATTCATATTTTGTTTCTTTGGGATTCAGTCTTGGTAGATTTTGCTTTTCTAGGAATTTGTTCATTTCATCTATGTCACCCAATTTGTTGGCATATGATTATCTATAGTGCTTTTTTAAAAAAGTTTTTCACATAATTTTATTATATCCTTTAAAGATAGCACTAAGTATTAATTAAATGGTTTCATAGGTAAAATGTATTTTCTGGGAGTATTTTTGACATCTTTGTTTATTAAACTTGGCAGATACTAAGTTAGTCTTTTCATTTGAACCCCTTTAGTATGTACCACAACTTAAAATATAACCTAAAGATAAAGAACTTTGGTACTCCATGCCATCCTTGTAACTTAACACCATATCAAATGCTCTAGCATTTCATAAACTTGTTTCTTAAATATAAGTATGACTCTTGACCTTGATCATGGTTTCCATATTCACTTTTAGCTACTACATCCAGGATTTCAATGACTCATCATTTCTCTCCACCAGTCTCTCCTGGAAGTAACACTTGGTGTTCAGATAGCACTATTCTTATCCTTTTTATTTCTGTAAAATTGATAATATCTCCCTTTTTTTCCTAATTTTGTTTGAGTCTTCTCTTTTTTTAGTCTATCTAAAGGTTTAATTTTGTTAATCTTGGAGAATCAAATTTTGGTTTCATTGACTTTCTCTATTTTAATTAGTTATTTATTTAAATTACTATGAACTCATTGTTGTTGTTTTTTCATTCTTTGAGTTATAACCCATTACTATCATTATTTATTGTTTTGCTCAAATTCTCCCAGAATTGGCCATTGGAAGCTCCTTCAGGTTGACTTCTGTGTCCTTATAACATATCCCCATTATCTTTTTTCTTTTGAGCTTTTGTTTTTAGACACCATAGGATGTTCCAAATTCATGTTTGTTTGTTTTTAATCCTCACCTGAGGATATTTTTCTATTTATCTTCAGATAGAGTGGGAAGGAGAGAAAGGTAGAGAGAAAAACATTGACGTGAGAGGGACATATTGACTGGTTGCCTCCCGCATGATCCCAATCAGGGCTGGGGATGAACCACAACCAAGGTACGTGCTCTTGACTGGAATCAAACCCTCGGCACATTGGCCCACGGGCCGATGCTCTACCACTGAGCCAAACTGGCCAGGGCCCAAGCGCATCTTTTAATAGTATTTTTAAATGTCTCAAAACATTAACATTTTGAATTATTTTTTGCATTTTGAACCATTGTTTGCTTTTCTTAGGTATGAAGATACGTGGGCTGCACTTCACAGAAGAGCCAAGGAATGTGCAAGTGCTGGAGAGGTAGATTATTGGCTACTCTTACACTTGTGAGATATGCTGATTTTTAAGAATTTTAATTTGTATTTGTATTAAAATGTTTTGCAGGATATATGAAATTGAATTTAGCAGTTGATTATGAAACTCCCTAAAAAGGCACTTTTTCATAATATCTCAGTCAGCTAGTTTAGTTAGGCTTAGGGAGTTTGACTTTTATTCTCAAGTCACAAATATAAGTATTTAGTTCATCTAGGTATAATGCTGTAAATTTTGAGTCTGATGCTTTTGCATATGTATATGTAAATTATAAGGTATAATTTCTTTTTACCCACCATTTAAGAATTTCTTATTTTGGACAAAAGCTTAACTTCGCTCAGTCTACCTAAAATCACTAATCTGTTTAACAAATATGTGTACAAATTTCTGGAGGGATCAGCCTTAATTCACTTAGAATATCAGACTATCCTCTAGCACTATGTATAGATTATATAATAAAGATAAATGACTTGTAATTAAAATTATTTGGTACATGTACTTAAAGCTTTATGAGTCAAGATCAAATACTCTGTACTATTAATGTCAATCAAACTTTTTTTCCTAAAAACACTTTTGTGATTCTGATGTTACCATTTACCTAAATTACTGAAGCTGTAATATTTATGTAGAACAGAGTAATGCATATTAAATGTAGTCATTGGTGTTTGTCTGAGAAATTATTGAAAAGGGGGGAATGTAGGTTTTTGGCCCTAAGGTAGACCAGGTACTTTGAAAAGTCCAATAGATATAAAACACTTAAATCCTAGATAGTTTAAAAAAATGTTTTTTAATGCATGAAGCTCACAAAAATTGAGGGAGATTCTATCATGCCAAAAAAGTGAAAAGGGAACTAAAATCATAGTGGCAGAAAAAAACAGCCACAACCTGGAAGTTGGGGTCAAATGCTAAAACGAAAGCTTTAGAGATTTATGGGGATAGGAGACTTTGTCTGTGGGGAACTGAAATGACTCCTGCATAAAGCTCTTGGATTTTTGAAGTGGCTGCATCCCTCAGTGAAAGGTTATGCTGGGATATAAGAAAAGCTTCCTGTTGGCAGAAGGAGGCAACAAGAAAACCTGTCTGTGTTTATGACAACTTGGAATAAATGTAGTCTCCTTTTTGAGTTTGTTACCATGGTCTTGGCCTCACATGAGTGTGGGGCTCTAATTTATTACACTTCCTGCGTGGTCATGGAACCATTACATTAATAAATGAAAGGGCCAGAGGTGACTGTGTTTCTCGATACCCATCAGATACAAACAAATTCTAGATGGATGAAACTTTGAAAACCAAGCTCTCTCAAGATTCCTACAGGTTAATTTCTCACCACCACCTCCACAAAAAAAATGAGCAGACACATTACCAAAAGTTTGAGAGAGTCACTAGAACCAGAGTAAGATTTAGATCTACAAAGGACTTTAGATATTGCACTGTTGGATATAGACTATTAAATAGGTATATACAAAGCTTTTTTTTTTTTTATTGATTAATTTTTGTTACAAATGATTCTCCTTTTTTCCCCTACTGATTCCCCCCTCCCCCTTCCCTCCCTGCCCCTTCCCGAGATTGTTGTCCATGTCCATTGTTCATGCATACATGCATATAAGTTCTGTGGTTCATCCCTCTCTCACCTCCCCACTCCTTAGGGGATTGTCCTCAAACTGTTATGTTCATTATATTCCACAAATCAGTGAGATCATATGAAATTTGTCTTTCTCTGTTTGGCTTGTTTCACTTAGGATGATACTTTCCAGGTCCCTCCATGTAGTCTCAAAGGATAAGAGATCTTTCTTTCTTACCGCTGCGTAGTACTCCATTGTGTATATGTACCACAGCTTTTTAATCCATTCGTCTACTGATGGGCACTTGGGCTGTTTCCAGATCTTAGCGATTGTAAATAGTGCTGCTACAAAGATGGGGGTACATATATTCTTTCTGATTGGTGTTTCAGGCTTCTTAGGGTATATTCCTAGAAGTGGGATCACTGGGTCAAATGGAAGTTCAATTTTTAGTTTTTTGAGGTAACACCATCTTGTTTTCCATAGTGGCTGCACCAGTCTGCATTCCCACCAGCAGTGTACTAGAGTCCCCTTTTCTCCACACCCTCGCCAACACTTGTTTGATGATTTGTTGATGGCGGCCATTCTGGCAGGTGTGAGGTGATACCTCATTGTTGTTTTAATTTGCATCTCACTGATGGTTAGTGATGTTGAGCATTCTTCATATGTCTCTTGGCCATTTGTGGGCAAGAGCCTTTCTGAGGTGGAAGCAGTCGTAAGAGCTAAAGCTGGAAAGGAAGTTTAGTATCTGATAATAGAGGATCTTTAATGCTTTGCTGCACCAGTCTGCATTCCCACCAGCAGTGTACTAGAGTCCCCTTTTCTCCACATCCTTACCAGCACTTGTTGTTTGTTGATTTGTTGATGGCGGCCATTCTGACAGGTGTGAGGTGATACCTCATAGTCATTTTAATTTACATCTCTCTGATGATTAGTGACGTTGAGCATTTTTTCATGTCTCTTGGCCATTTATTTGTATGTCCTATTTGGAGAGGTGTCTATTTAGGTCCTCTACCCATTTTTTAATTGGGTTCTTTGTGTTCCTTTTGTTGAGTTGTATGAGTACTCTATATATTTTGGATATTAACCCCTTATCTGATGTATTGTTGGCAGTTATGCTCTTCCATATTGCGGGATCCCTTTCTATTTTGATGCTTGTTTCTTTTGCTGTGCTTTTTAGTTTGACATAGTCCCATGTGTATTAATTTTTTTCCTTTGTTTCTCTTGCCTTAAGCATTATATCAGTGAAAATTCTGATGTGTGTGATGTCTGAAATTTTGTTTCCTACATTTTTGTCTAGGATTTTATGGATTCATGAGTCACATTTAAGTCTTTTATCCATTTTGAGTTTATTTCTTTGTACAGTGTAAGTTGGTGGTCTAGCTTCATTTTTTGCATGTAGCTGTCCAATTTTCCAACACCATTTATTAAAGAGTCTGTCTTTACTTCATTGTATGCTCTTGCCACCTTTTTCAAATATTAATTGAGCATAATGTCTTGGGTCAATTTCCTGGTTTCTCTTCTCTTCCATTGATCTATATGCTTGTTCTTGTGCCAGTACCAGGCTGTTTTGATTTCAGTGGCTTAGTAGTATAACTTGATCTTGTACCTTGATCCCTCCTTCTTTGTTGTTTCGTTTTCAAGGCTGCTGTAGCTATTTGGGTTTTTTTTTTTTTTTTTTTTTCCATATAAACTTTTGGAGCATTTGTTCTAGTTCTGTGAAATATGTCATTGGTTTTTATGAATATTGCATTGAATCTATAGATTGCTTTCGGTAATATGGACATTTTACCGATGAATTACATGATGGTAATTCTTCCAATCCATGAACAAGGTATGTGCTTCCACTTTTTTATATCTTCCTTTATTTTATTTTTTTCAATGTCCTGTAGTTTTCTGCAAATAGGTCCTTTACTTCTTTGGTTAAGTTTATTTCTAGGTATCTTAATTTTTTTGCCGTGATGGTAAGTGGGATTGTTTTTTTAATTTCTCTTTGTTAGTTAATTATCGGTGTATAAGAATGCTTTGATTTCTTGATGTTAATTTTGTATCCTCCTACTGTGCTAAATTCATTTATTAAATCTAGTAGATTTTTGATGGAGTCTTGAGTGTTTTCTATGTGCAATATCTTATCATCTGCAAATAATGACAGTTTCACTTTCTCTTTTCCAATTTGGATCCCTTTTATTTTTTCTTCATGTCTAATTGCTGTTGCTGACTTCCAGTATCATGTTAAATAAGAGTGGCAAAAGTGGGCATCTCTGTCTTGCTCCTCTTCTTAAGGGAAATGCTTTAATTTTTGCCCATTGAGTATGATGTTGGCTGTAGGTTTTTTAATATATGGCCTCTATTATGTTGAGATATGGTCCCTCTGTTCCCGCATTGCTGAACATTTTTATCAGAAATGTGTGCTGAATTTTGTCAAATGTTTTTTCAGCATATATTGCTATTTTCATGTGTTTTTTTTTTAAATCCTCACCCGAGGACATTTTTCCATTTTTTGTTCAGACAGAGTGGGAGAGAGAGAGAGGAAGAGAGAGAGAGAGAAAAACATTGATGTGAAAGGGACACATCGAGTGGCTGCCATCCACACAGCCAACCAGGGCCGGGAACAAACTGCAACCCAGGTACGCACCCTTTGCGGGAACTGAACCAGGGACTCTCTGGACTGCCGGCCGATGCTGTAAACACTGAGCCAAACAGGGCATCATATGATTTTTATATTTCATTTTGTTTGTGGTGTACCACATTTATTGATTCACAAAATTGTACCATCCTTGCTTCCCTGGGGTGAATCCCACTTGGTCATGGTGAATAATTTTTTTAATATATTGCTGGATCCTATTTGCTAATATTGTTTTAAGGATTTTGGCGTCTATGTTCATCAGGAATATTGGCCTGTAGTTCCTTCTTTGTAGTGTCTTTATCTGGTTTTGGAATTAGAATTGTGCTGGCTTCATAAAAGTCTTCTTTCTTCTTGAATTTTTTAGAATAATTTGAGTAGAATGGGTGTTAGTTTTTGAATGTTCAGTAAAATTCCCCCGTGAAGCCATCCATGCCTGGGCTTTTGTTTGCTGGGAGTTTCATGATGACATCTTCAATTTTCTTAGTTGTTATTGGTCTGTTCCAGTTTTCTATCTCTTTCTGGTTCAGTTTTGGGAGACTGTATGATTCTAGAGATTTGTTCATTTCACCTACATGGTCCAATTTGTTGGCATTTCATTGTTCTTAGTAGGGCAATGGTTTAACCAAATGAACTACCCACCCAGGGTCTGTTGACTAGTTTAAATAAATTTTATGAACATAGACCATTGTTTCTAGCTTTAGTTTTCTGATGATTACATCACAGGTCATCTATGAAGACTGCTCAGCATTTTTAAATTTACTCTAAGGGATTATTTTATAACTGGTAGGCAATAGGCATTTTTAAGTATTTAAAATTTATGAAAATGCCACTTGAATAAAGCTTGGTGTCACTTTCCAGCCCAGTGAGGTTTGTATGTGAGAGATGATGTGGCTATTCCTGCAGTGTGGACTGAAAAACAATGGGGAGCTTGCTGGGTACAGGGTGAAGAAACTTTTTCTTGTAGCTTATTTCTTGAATTTCAATGTTGTGATTTTCCCAGAATACTATAGTGTAGAAACAAATAGTCTAGCACTATATGCAAATAATTTTACATCTTATTTTAATATTCCAATTCCTCTGAAGTTCTTTCTTTACTGAGATTCAGTAACAGTCAGTTGCGTTCATGTTTCAACTTGTGAAGATTCTGAATTTTGCCATCTTTATATTTATTGTACTATTGTGTAGGTATCTTTTACAATTCTTTTATATTACTGGCGATGTTTTCAAGAGATGACCTCTCCTTGCTCCTTCTAAATCTTATTCTAGGCTTTTTCCCCTCCCACCATGTTAAGACCAAAACAAAACTGGTAGAAACTGATGTCTGATGTCTGTCATTTTCTTTGCAGTCTTCAGGAAAAGAAGTAGAATTATTTTAGATTAGTCTAGTGTTACACCACCCTGCTGTTAGGAGTCTTTTACATCTGAATTACTTCTTTGTTAACATAAATCTTTTTTTTTTTCTGGAATTGATTAGTTGCCTCAATAATTTCTTCATATATAGGCACCATTTACCTTATGCATTGTGTTCCTATTAAATTTAAATTGAACCTTAATATATTCTAATTGCCTTAGGAAACTTTTCTGTTAGAAGAATTCTTTTTGTGAAGCAAATAATTACCTACTAATTATGTTTTGGTTGTTTTTGTTTGTTTTCTTTACAGTTGTTAATGGTAGTTTTTTGTTTTAATGTTCTAGATTTTGATTTTCAAATACAGGGTTTACTTAAAAATAGGTTATGCTTAAAAGCAATTTCTAAGGTCATTTTTGAACTTTCTCTTCTCTGAGTTAAAATGCACTGAGACAAGCAGTAATTTGAGGTTTTCTGTACTGAATATTAAGTTCTAAGAAAGTAAACAACTTCAGTCTTCTTTTGAGTGTCCTGTCACTTATAGTAACTAGAGGATTTTTACAGGTAACATCGACCAATTCTCATTATGCTGACTACAATTTCTTTGTGCTTAAAATCTGGTTTTACTTTACCTTCCCTCTTCTTTGTTGCAGCTGGTGGGTAGCGAGGTGGTTATGCTTTCAGCACACGGGGACAAAAGGAAGACGAGCCTGATAGAGCTACAGGAGCAGCTTCAACAGCTTCCAGGTCTGATAGCAGATTTAGAATCCACGACAGCAAATTTGAGTAAGTTTTATGTTCATATCTATATTTACATTTAGGAATGAAAATAATTAGGGCCGGACTTGGTATAATTTCAAAGCTTTCTAAGAATACATTAATTTTTTGGTTGACAGGTTTTTCGGAAAGTGGTTAAGTTCTAGTTAATTTCATAATCTGAGTGAGGATTAGACAGAAAAGGATTTAAATTGTAGAAATGGTTTCTAAAATATACCGGTAACTGTTTCTGGCTCAGTTCATCTCAGGAAATAGAGTTACAATTTTTTTTATTCTCAAGTGACTTAGGGTTGTCTTTGTGACATTAAGATCTCTGTTTAAAAGTATAAATATAGAAAATTAAAAGGGATTAGGGTGATTTTGTCCTGACTATAGTATATACTGTGGGAGTTGTTGCTTTTAAAATTAGGTCTGCTTAGCCCTGGCTGGCGTGGCTCAGCAGTTAGAACATTGGCCTGCACACTGAAGGGTCTCGGGTTCAATTCCTAGTCAAGGGCATGTACCTGGGTTGCAGGTGTGATACCTGGTCCTGGTCTGGGCGTGTGTGGGAGGCAACCAATTAATGTGTGTCTCTCACATCAGTGTTTCTTTCTCTTTCCCCTACCCACCCTTCGCATTCCACTCTCTCTCTAAAAATCAATGGAAAAATGTCCTTGGATGAGGATTGGCCACAGCAGAGAAGTTAGGTCTGCTTAGAAGGTCATGTCCTGCAGTGCTCTTTTTCCTCTTCAAACTGAAAACAGTTCAAACAAATCCAGTTAAATGAGCATACATGTTTGTCTAAATTTGTAGCTTGTGGACATTTATATTTCTTTATTGTGATGAATTATGCTGATAGTCTTAATTTCTAGAATTTGTATTTAGAAAATTAACTTTTATGTTTGACAGTGCCACATCTTAGGATAATATTGTGGCTTACTATTTTCTAACCAAGTTTGAGTTCTTAGTAAAGTAAATGTTAGGTGCTGTCAAAAAGATAAACTTTTTGAGCTAATAACCTGATCCAGTCTTATGGAGAAGAAGGTAAGAATACCCTTATCATATCTTCCTGTTATTCAGTATCACCTTTTTAAAATTATTTTTTAATCCTCACCTGAGCATATTTTTTTATTTATCTTCACATAGAGTGGGAGGGGGAGAGAGGGTAAGAAGGGGAGAGAGAGGAACATTGACATGAGAGGAACACATCAACTGGTTGCCTCCTGTATAACCCCAACCAGGGCTGGGGACGAACCACAACTGAGGTACGTGCCCTTGACCAGAATTGAACTCATGACTCATTCATCTGTGGGCCAATGTTCTACCACTGAGCCAAACAGGCCAGGGCCTTTTTTTTAATTAATTAATTAATTAATTAATTTATTTATTTATTTTATTTAAGCAAAACAAAAATGATTAACAAAATAAAGCAGCTTTTTCTGTGTAAATAAAGTTACCTGAATGATATTTGGAATGCTCTTGCTAATAACAGTACCTAATATAACCTACTATAACAAAACATCATCTTTAATCCTCCTATGAACCCTACAAAAGTAGTTTTATTGTCCCACTTTACAGATAAGAAAAATAAGGCTTGAAGAGGTTGTGAATTGCTTTTGGGTCACATAAAATGTGGCTCCAGGATCCCAGCCACAGTGATGATTCCCTCTGGGGGATGAGGCCTTTGGATGAGAGCTGTCAGTAGGCCTCAGGAACTGTGTTCATAGAGCCCTGGCTGTTACAGTTCTTTCTGATATCAGTGATTTGTTATTTCTGAAGGCAGGGCATGAAAAAGATGTCCTGGGTCTTAGGAGAAATGTGAAATAGCTGTGATTGCCCTCTGTATTTCTTCCTCTTGTGGGGGAAAAATAGCTTTCAAGATACTTTGCATTGTCTTCTTAGCCACTTTCTTTTTGCTTATGTTCTTGCATCTCTTGGAGTTGCTTGATTTTCATTGGTCGTATATTTCTTTGCAGAGACATTTTTCTATGATAACCCCCCCTCTTTTTTTTTCCAGCTTAAATTCTGTTTAGAAATGTTGTTTGAAACTACTCTGCTGATTAAATGCATTTGCCACAGTTCTAAATGTGACTTTTAGATAAGCCACATACACTTATTGGAATTAATGCTGATATTTTTTACAAGAGGAAAATATTTCAAAGCCAAACTTGGTGGGGTAGGTTGTATAAACATACCCATATCAATATAGTTTATAAATTTATTTCAAATGTTTGTTGAAATACTGAGTTACATAATTTTTGGGGGGTAGCCTTAAGATATCTCTTATCACCTGAATACCTTGAAATATTAACAAGGTTTAAATAGTCAAGCGATAATAAAACATTAAAATAACTTAGAAGAAAATAGTAAATCACCTATGTTTAGTTACAGGATTCTCTTAACTTCTTTGAACTTTTTACCTTTCCACTGTTGTATTTAATACCATATTCAGCCATTCCTTCCATTTGACAGGCTACTTAACTGTTTTAGTTTGGCTTTGTTCTCTTTAGAGTCTGCTCTTATCAAAGAGTAAAGGCTTTATATGATGTGATCAATTTGGACCTTGGATGATGCTTTAGCTGTGTTATCCTATGGCTTAAATATAACGCCTGCTTACTTAATTTCTTAGTAATTGTTGAAAATGGATAATCCATTCATGTTTTTTGTTTTTAGTTTTTTTTAAATGGGGTGTGATCCATCCAGTTTACAAAAGCTTGTGTAATAATTACTTGTAAAGCTTGTCATTAAAAAAAAAAGATAAAGGTATGGTTGGAACTGGAAAATAAAGGCTATGAAATAACTCACTGATCTAGGTTTGGATCCCAATCCCACAGCTTTATTTATTTAATTATTTAGTTAATCATTGATATGCAAGAATGCATTGATTGAATGTCTTCTGCACATGTCTTGACTGGGCTGGGGATTGAACCCACAACCCAGGTACTTGCCCATGGCCAGGAATCAAATCTGCTACCCTCCGGTGTTTGGGCTGACACTCTAACTGCAGAGCATACTGACCAGGCCCAACCCCACAACTTCTTTCTGTGAAATGCCAAGCAGGTTTCTTAACTGCTCCAAGCTTTAGTTTCTTCATATGCAGAATGAGGATGAGAGAACCTGCCTTATAGGGTATTTGTAGGGTAGAATGACAGATCTAAAGCACTCAGCACAGTGCTCAGTTCGTGTTACGTGTATGCTGGGTACCATGAGCTGTTTGTAGGCTCTGAGGATACAGCAGTGACTAAGACTGGGCACCTGCCAACATTCTAGTGGGAGTTTCTCAAGCCTTTACAGATTTACAAATTCATTGTTTGTTGACAGAGGGCTTGGATGGATGTTATGCAATTTAGCTTGTCTTGCAAAATAGTTTAGAATGCAAAACCATGGCATGAAATGTGATGAGATGAACAGTGTAGTCCTTTTTGCATTGAAAGGATAAATGGAAAATTGTCCAGATTCTAGACACTTTCTCATTCTCTGTAATTACCATAGTGTGTGTTTTTATCATAAAACTACTGAAATTTTTGAAAAGTATTTATTGAATTTTCTTAAACTTCCACTAGAGGGTAGTCAAATCCTATTTCTTTATGGAGATTTAAAGTATCTAGGGCTTGTCTGGATTTTCTCTATTGCTTAGTTTATTTTTTATGACCTACTTTAAAAAGACTGTTACCTTCATCTAGACAGAATATACTTATAGTTCTTTAAATAACACAATGTTGTAAGAAAATGAATTTGTAGCTTTTATTTTATTATTTGACCTAACGTGATATATTACTGTTTTGCTTTCTTCTATACCGAGTTTGAGAGAGCATCTAGCAGGGAGACTGTCACAGCTCTCACTGTTTCATGAACTAGATTATCTTATTGTCCCAGTTACTTTCTGAGATTAGACCCTCCAAGAAACACATTAACTCTCTTTAGATATTTCATAGTATGCTAAATGATCTAATTTGTTTTGTAATGGCTTTTCAAGGTAATTCACTTATTACCTTACTATCTTTACTGGATTACCTTATTAGATAAAAGGAGACCATAAGCATTTGAAAAATCTCGTGGTCTTTTAGTACCTGGCCTCTGTGACCTGTGGCTTTGTAGTCAAAGAAGATTTCTTTGTACCTTGAGGCTAATTATTTTTGTTAGGAAAGTACTCATTAAGTGTAAAATTACTAGTTTTAGCTGCTGCTTTATTTTTCATGTATCAGTGGTTACACTACATATAATAATATTGGAAACAAATGGCACAAAGAAAACTTCCAAACAGAATCTCTTTTCCTCTGGGACAGCCTTCTCACAAAGATTTGTGACGCTCTTTCCTGCACAGCTGTCATGCATTCCCAAATGGTTTTTCATAATAAATTCCACCAATCTTTTTCACTGATCACTAAATGAGACATATGCTGTTGTGACAGTGAGCAAAACAGTGAGATCTGAACTTCTTCCAAAGGTGTGTTAACATCCATGGAGGCCTGCTAGTGTTTTATGTACATGCATTTTAAGTTTGGTTACCAAATTTACTCATATGTGCAACTCATTTTGTAATACGACATGAGCAGGTTGTGACAGGGAAATAAAATTTATGAGCATTACAATTCAGTATAAAATATTTAGAATGTACATCATATATAGGCTTGTAATTATTATTTAAATAGATTTTTGAAGTTTTTAATGTATACAGGGAAGAAAGTTCATTTTTTGTCAATATAGTTCTTCTATATTTTATTGCTGATTTCAGCCTGTTATGAGTTAAAATGGAAAATTCCCATTGCTTCTATTGCTTATAACTCAGTGATAATGGGGGCTGGTTTGATACACTAATAACAAAATGCCATCATGTTGTTAGATGTTTTCTTTTTTAGTTTTTTTTTTTTAATTGATTATTAAGAGAGAGAGAAAGAGAGGAAGGGAGAGGGAGAGAGAGAGAGAGAAAGATCAATGAGAGAGAACATTGATTGGCCACCTTCTGCATGCCCCTCACTGGGGATCATGCCCATAACCTGGGCATGTGGCCTGACTGGGAATTGAACTGG